GCCGAGCCAGTATTTCAACCTGATTTTTTCTTAACAATTGAATAAATTTTTCTTTGTCATTAACTGTTTTACAACATTAAGTGGATGAATGATATTCTATTTGTGGTTTTTTTAAAAAAAACAGTTTCTTTTTGGATGTCTAGGTTTTCCCAATTCCTAATACCTGCAGTAGTTATCTTTGTAGTTCACAATCATAAGTTCTGGTTTCAAATCTTGACTCTTAGTACTTACTAACTGACCTTGGGCAAGTTAATTAATTTCCCTGGCCTCACTTTTATCAACCACAAAATGAGGGTAATAGTCTTACTGGGTTGTTAAGAGGATTAATAAATAAAATGCTTAAAACAATGACAGCACATTTATTACTACTATTAAAAACTTGTGTACATTGTTGATTATTTCTATAGAATTCCTAGTAGTGGAATTGCTAATATATCAAGAGCCTGTAGAATGATAAGTATTTATTAGATACTGTCATGAGGCCCTAGCACATAGTGAATATTCTGTGCCAGCTATGATGATGATGATGATGATGATGATGATGATGTACTTAAGCACTGCACTAGGTTATGGGAATATGGCAGCAGATGAGAATCAACGTCTTCCCCTCAGTGAAGCTTGTAGTCTCATGGTACCAAAGGCTGTATCAAGTTCCAAGGTATTTAAATGGATAACTTCTAAAAACTAGAGTGGAATAAATGAGGAGGAAAAGAGGGGACCTGAGATGACACTTTATTGAACTGGGGATAGGCATACCTTGTTTTGATGAAGGTGTGAGCCAAAGCATCTTGCCCTCTAGGGATTAAGCTAATGAAATATTATATGATCTTCCAAGGACCTAGGGATATTTCTTGCATTGTTTTCATATTCCCCTTACTAGATTTTAAGGTATTTTAGTTCAAGCACACATGTTCTTTGCAGTTTATGAATCACACAATTCACAAGTTTCCTATTCTTTTTACTTGCATGGTAGAGAATGGGCTATTGGCATGGTAACCATCCAGCCTTCTTCCTCCTTTTGCACGTCATTGCTCCACTCTGGCCAGACAACAGCGGTGTCTGGACAGCAGAGCCCTACTGTTCTTTGGCTCCTGACTTACCATCTAGCCTACAAATGGGGATGTGGTCCTTCTCAGAGTAGCGTACCCTAACCAGGCTCTAAAAAGGTGGTAGCAGGGAAAATGGAGCAACCAGCGAGCACTAAACCTGTCTGTAAACAGTCTTCCCTGTATCATTTTGACAGTTTTAACCTCCCACTTCACAATTACAAACCTCATCTTTTTGTTTGGTTAGTCTGGCACTATGCTTTATTCCTAGTGATGGACCATCTTAGCACATTGCTTTCTGTTTTTCTTTTGGTAACAGCTTTGTTAAGACACAATTTATATGCTATATAATTTACCTATTTTGAGAGTAATAGCTTTTAATATGTTCACAGTAGTGCAACTATAATCAATTTTAGAATATTTTCATTACCACAGATAGAAACCGTGTATTCTTTGGCAGTCACCCTTATCTACCATATCCCCCTATCCTTACTCTGCTCCACCAACCCCACTAGCTAGGCAAATACTATTCATTTTTTTTTAAATCTCTATAGATTTGCCTATTTAGAGTCATACAATATGTAGTCTTTTGTGCCTGGCTTCTTTCACGTTTCATGCACGTTGTAGCATGTCTCACTACTTCATTCTTTTTTATTGCTGAATAATATTTCATTATAAGATATATCACATTTGGCTCTTGACTATTATGAATAATGCTATGAATATTCATGTGCAAGTTTTTGTATAAGCGTATATTTTTATTTCTCATATATATTATATATGTTATATATATATATCTAGGAATGAGATTGCTGGGTCATATAGGAACTCTTTGTTTAACTTTTAGGGGAACTACCAAATTGTTTTCCAAAGTATTTGCATTTTACATTTCCATCAGCAGTGTATGAAGATTCCAATTTCTTTATATGGTTGTTATATCTTGTTGTTATTCGTGTTTTTGAGTATAGCCATCTTAGTGGGCATGAGGTTGTATCTCACTGTGGTTTTGAATTTCTCTGGTGATTAATGACATTGCATATCTTTTCATAAGTTCCTTGGCTATTTCTACATCTTATTTGGAGAAACATCTATTCAGATTCTTGATCTTTTTGCTTGGGTTATTTTTCTATTCATTATTGAGTTATCAGAGTTTAAGTTCTTCATATATTTTAGAAACAAGACCATTAGCAGATGATCTGCAAATTTTTCTTTCATTCTACGGATTGTCTTTTCACTTTCCTATTGGTGTCCTTTGAAGCACAACTGTTTTAAATTTTGATGTCTAATTTATTGTTTTTTATTTTATTATTTGTGTTTTTGGTGTTACATTTAAGAAACCATCACCTTATTTGAAGTCATGAAGATTTACCCTGTGCTTTTTTCTAAGAATTTTATACTTTTAGCATTTACATATAGGTCTTTGATCTATTTCAAGTAAATTTTTGTATACGGTATGATTAAGAGGTCCAACCTCATTAATTTACATTTGAATATCCAGTTGTCCCAGTGCCATTTGTTGAAAAGAGTATTCTTTTCCAGTTGAATAGTCTTCTCACCCTTGTCAAAAATTACTTGACCATAAGTGTGAGGGTTTACTTCTGAACTCTCAATTGTGTTCTGTTGATCTATATATCCTTATGCTAGTATCACACTGTCTTTTTTTTGCTGGTTCTTCATCTTCCCCTCAACCTCTTAACCATTTCTTGCCTCTGAACTCCAGACCTATGTATCCATTAATTTGCCTACTTGATAATTTCACTAAGATGTACAGTAGGTAACTGAAACTTAACATGTTCAAACCTTAACCTCTAATCTTACATATTTTGTAGAAAGAAAGAAAGAAGAAAAATAAATTGACATTTGCAAAATATTTACTGTTAACACTATACTATGCATTATATCATTTATAACACATCTCAATGTTATGACAATTTAGGGACACTGTATACTTGTCCACAGTAGTGAGTTGTGGAGCTGAGACTTGACTCAAGTCAGTTTGATTCCAGAGCCTAAGCTCCTTCTTAACAGCTATATTTTACTTTTCCACAAATGATAAAGTATATAGATCTGCTTTTCTCTCCTCAGGGTTGTCCTGTGTAGTCAGGAAAAAGGATCCCAGGTGAATGGAATAGGAATGCTTGTGAGTCATGCAGTGCTTTAGAGCTGCCTCTTTCCTTTTCTGTGTAGAGTGGATATGTAGAAATATGTCCAGCACACAGACGGGCTTCCCCATCCCATGGGAAAACTCACATTGTATTTCTGGTGAATTTCTCCTGGCCAATTTCCCAGATTAGAGTTTCTCTGGCCTGAGACACACTTTCTACTCATCAGAATTGCTCTCATTCATTTGTTTAACTGGATTCTCCATCTTTATTTCCCATTTGTTCAAGAATTGTCAGCCTCCCTTGATTTATGCAAGATATCCCACACACTAATATTTGCTTGTTCAGCTCCTAGCACTGAAAATTTGTTCCATATTTCTTGTTTTTCTTTCTTTTGTTGAGACAGAGTCTCACTTTGTTGCTCAGTAAAGTGCCATGGCATTGCAGTTGCAGCAACCTCAATCTCTTAGGCTCCAGTGATCCTCTTGCCTCAGCCTCCTGAGTAGCTGGGTTTACAGGCACCTGTCACAATACCTGGCTAGTTTTAGAGTAGCGTCTCATTCTTATTCAGGCTGGTCTTTTATTTTTTTTTTTGAGACAGAGCCTCAAGCTAGTCCCCCTGGGTAGAGTGCCGTGGCTTCACTGCTCATAGCAACCTCCAACTCCTGGGCTCAAGCGAGTCTCCTGCCTCTGCCTCCCAAGTAGCTGGG